TGTTCAAATTCTTGGCCATCAACGTCCAAGTTTTTGGTTGTCATGGTTCAAAATTGAGCTCAAAATGTTTAAATATGTAGATTAAAATCATTTTTTATTAAAAAACATAATATAATTTTTTTAAATGGCATGTATTCATTTTGACAAAATTATCAACAACTTCAAACTTTAAATACACGTTCAAATAAATCAATGTTTGAAATACATGTAAATTAATGTTTGCATTACATATATGAAGAATTGTATTTGTTGATTTTCATTTTATTGATCCATTTGTAGGCTTTTTTTTTAATTTAAAATTGAGCTTTTATATTATATACATGTTTTATTACAAAAGTGATAAATTTGATATAAATTTGTATATATATATATATTGATATAAATATATATATGTAAATATAACATCTTACAAATATATTAGAATTTTTCATTATAAAATGTCAATAAACGAATAAGAATTACAATCATATAACATTTACAATTTTACAAATGTATGCATTATATATTTTCTATATTGTCTATTATAGATTAACTTAAAATCAACTTATCTAGTTCAAAAAATGTGTACATAAAATGAAAATGATCATATATGACTACAAATTTTAATATTAATTCATGATCTTACTTTGAATTGAATTGTTTTTTGTATATACATTTAAATATCTGAACATCAAAAGTTGCAATAGCTACACTTTAGCCTCTTTCGATATTATCTGTTACATTTTTGAAAGTTACCTTATAATTAAATTGCTCATGATTTAAATATATAGTTGATAAAGATTTGAAGATGAAAGAGTGAATTTTTTTCTTATTATATATATATTTTAGAACATTAAATAAGAAATATAAAATAATGGGTAAGAAGAAATTTAGACTGTAAATAATTTTATTAGCAAATTAATTATATTTTGATCAATATTTATAATTTAACACTTAAAAAATGACAATAAATTTTTAATATTATAATATGATTACATTACAGGAACCTTGCCGCTAAGTATGCATGGATTTAAATACGCATCCTAGGTAAGAACGCAAATTTTATCCAAAAAAACACAGATCAAGTTTAGAATTTAGGAAAAGTCAAATAAATTATAGCAACAAAATACCAAAGAAAGACATAGTGAAAAAAAAGGAAAATTGAACAACCACTCCACTCATCCGTCCATAGATTGTGTTCGTCTCATCTTGGTACCTTACCTCATCAAGGCCTAACGTTTTATTCGAGGCTTCGTTTATCCATTCCATTTCAGATTATAATTAATTTAAATTGCACTAAGTGATTGCTTCAAGATCTTAGCCTACGATCTTGGTTGTTTACTCTTGACTTTCTATCATAGCACCAAAAGACTCTATGTACAAACTCACTGGTATGCATTCGGAGTTGCGTTGGAGTGGTCAAGCATCAAATCACATACATATATGAGTGATTCAAATGAAGTAAAAATTAGGATTGAGCACGGTAAGAGTCAAAAGGATTAAGTAGCGTTCAATAAAACGTCTTTGGGTTTGTTAAAAGAGAGTTTTTTATAAGTTAAAAGAGAAAGATTTTGTGTTAGTTCTAGCCCCGATACAAAAGTGCAAGTCCATGACCGGTTTTAGAGAATTCGTGGACGGTTGACTGCAGGCATTAGTTCTTGGTGTTCAGAGATGTCAATCATTTTGCGAGCACGGTGAGCTCCTTCGGCGGATCTCTCCAAAGACACAACTGCAATTAGCGACTTTCTTGTGGAACTTTTACTTCGTGTTAGTCGAATTTTGTTTTTACCACAAACAATGTCCATAGCTAATTTAATTTGAGTGTGACATTGGAACTTATATTATTTTATACAATCTGAGAACTTTAGTTCAGGTACTTCATCTTTTTTTGAAGTTCCAAGCAAAACAAAACAAATCATTGTTTTGTTCGGGCTTGGATACATGGTACATAGTTCACGGAGTCCATATTCACTCAAACTCTTAAGCTCATATAATTGTGAACAAGCCCGGACAAACATTTCTAGCGCAAACCTTGGTATGAACATACTTGTTTTTATTAAGTATGCACCTCCATGTTAAGTGCGCAAAATCTTCATAGGATCAATTTGCGTACTTAATCGGAAGATTACTGTAAAAGTAAGAAGTATTCATTTACATTATATATATCTTTCAACATTATATAAAGAGCTAAACCTTCCAATAGTGTCATCTCTTATGAATGGCATATTCTCATTAGTGACGTAAAATTTCAGATTCATTGATGTTTAACTTGAAAATCTGTTCAAATAAGAACAGTACGTCACTATTCCCAATAGTGACATGATATTATCCAATAGTGACAATTTCAAATGTAATTTAGGAGCTAAAAATTTGGCAGATGTTTATTTAAGTATTTATCTCAACAAATTACTCTCTCTATGCTTCAATAAAATAAATCGCTACATACATTATCATCAATTGTTACATTCAGATTTTTGTGTACTAATCTAAATTCAAACGCAATTATAATATCTCCGTTAGTCGTCATGAACAATACAAATGTGCAAATGAAAGCAATTTTAAAATCAAACAACACATTTATAGAATGTACTGTACCATAAGAAATCTATGAGATTTGTTTTCATAAATCACAACTCTCAATAGTGACATCTAACTCTAACACCATTGTATGTTATTATTAGGAGGTTATATTCATGATTAAACAACCACAATAATGACATTCAACTCTAGCACAGGGCATGTCACTATTAGAAGGTTATGGAACGATCTGGAACTCATCAGGGCCACTTTTTGGTAAGATAAAAACACGAAAAACTTCATAGAAATGCTGAGTGTGGCCAGTCTTTCTACGGCTTGACTCCCACTGCCTCCATATTACAGTGAGAGAAGTTCCTCGAGTGTCTGAGAAAAGTTTTAGTGTGAACACACTAAAACACACATCTCTCACACTGTGTCGATGCACAATGTTGCCCAGCTTTCACAAAGTGTGAAGGCTGGATAACGTTGTGCATCAACAAAGAGCTACTTATCAGCAAGTTGATTGAATTGTGCCCGGATGTCTAGCCGAGGATATCTGTGGGTTCGGTGGCAGATCTCTCGAGCTCGGCTCTGGGAAACTGGATTCAGGAGAGACGGAGATCCAAGCTGATCCAATTCTGCCCATACTTCCATCGCAGAAACTAATGTTGCAATCACTGCCAGTAGCTTCCTACACCGATCTATAATCGGTGTTTGTGATGGGAAAATATTGCACCTCCTGACAGATCTACTGTAGCAGTCTAGACTGAATAACGAGAGACTTAGACTCACGATTCACCAAAACTCATATTTACAATATAGACTGAATCACGCATACTATATCCTGGTGAATCGCGAGTCTAACCCTTTACGAGTCAGTCGGCTGACTTGTAAAGAGTGAATGAATCACGCAGTCTATATTGTAACTGATAACGACAGAATGCTTCATTATTCAGGTGCCCATGTCTTTTCTCCACTGCGAAGGCTGGCTTAAGACTTGGAAAAAAATGCGGAGCCCCTTTCGCTTGACGGGCCTCTGCTTGACACTAGACATGAAAGATAGATTGTAAGAAAAAGATAGATACTACTGATTCTTCATAGAAACATCAAATTTGAGTATTTGTATGAATGTTTGTGATCCGAGAAGCAATGTAATGAACTTTATGGCACGGGTAGAAACTTGGACGTGGACTTGGATCTGTTATTTACAACAAAGACGCAACAAAAGTCTAAAAGTTCTCTTCCGATCTTCCTTGGAAGATGTCTTGGAACCTGCTGAGCATTCGAATCAAACAACCAAGCTCGCAACTCAATGCTTAGAACAATAACACCTCTCGTGCCTGGATTACATTCTGTCTCGTGTCAAAATCAACGTACTGAATTTACGGAATCCCTCATTGAATTGACACCTGAGGTCAATGGCAGACATTGCAATGATCATTGCAATTCACTAAAATTCCATGTAGTACATTAATGTCACTTTGATTAGTTTTCTAGTCAGGTAACGGAACGAAAGCAGGAACTCCCGATCGTACGAAAGAGAAAAGACATGTACAAACTCTTCAATCCAGATAGCGAAATTCAGTTCGTTTCTATGGAGTGTCTTATAGACAGAATGTGACTGATTAGTAATCTGAACTCTCAAGAAAACTATTGAATTCAAATGATATCAGTATGTTCAATGCATCTATGCTTCACATCTGTGAATTCTCTGCATCACAGGTATTGAACCTGGAAGGAAAATAATTTATCAGACATTGTGTTTGTCCTTAGTAAACGGGGGAGACACACACCAACTTATGTGTCAGTTATCTCCACCAAAAACGTTCGTTTAATTTATGAGTCCATTCTCTTTCTACGTAGCGGAAGATCGAACGAAAAAATCATAAACAGTCTTACGATACTTCTAAAATTCTTCGTTGAACTTCCAACTTTTTTCGTTTATGATCGAGCCGGAATCTATCCTACTCACTGTATCTCAATCCTACGAAGATTTCTAATGTCAGGCTTCTTAATCAACGACACATGTGAGATCTTGTTTTGCGTAATGTACATCACAGAACCATGCTTGAAACTCTAATCCAGTAGTGAGAAAAACTTAATTCACATGTGAAAAATCTTCCTCGCTGAAAATCAAAGCTTGTGAAGAAGTCTGAGCACATTATACTTCACTGACCTCATCATGGAAAGGCATCGAAGCTCGGAGAAGAAGAAGATGTACATAGCCAAAAGCCAATGTGCGAACTCTCTCCAGCTGCAACGTTGAATCACCTTTGAATCAAGAGTTACGTTGCAAAGAGAACTGTTGCCGTGAAACCGCGGCTTCTCGTCTAACGGGGAAGTGTTCGAAATGTGGCTGAACGTGCAGAATGCAATCAAAACTCCCTCAGGCTCGAGGATCTCGAGCAAGTTTCGCAGGATACAGGGAGGAGGACGAGCGATTGCACGTTACAATATAAAGCCAGCGCTCGGCGTCGATCGAGCCATTGTGACAGGTGAGAACTGAGAGAGAACGTTCAAGACTGCTGCTGGAGCATGTAGAGCAGAGCTTGTTGAGGATTTATCGTTGAGATCGTGGGATCGCCGGCACCGACAACTGCTGCAACTGTTGTTGCTGCTGCTCCTGCACCGGCTGCAGGTGAGCGATTGGATTTCACGCTGCTCCGCAACGTTGTGCATGTGATCTCGTGATGCTCTGCCACTAACGTGTTGAATTAAGGTTGCAGTTGTCGATGTCCACACGTTAACAAGTAGATGATGAAGTACTTGCAGCTGATGATTTCATGCATATCCTTCCGGTCGTTGAACTTTACTGGTCAGTGTACCAGCTTGTTGCTGCTATTGCTTGGTGCAAATCACATCTTTGTCCCCTGTCAACACGAGTACTCTCGTGAATTTGTTTCAACCCAATCAAGATCACATTGAGGTTGGTTTGTTGAAGTATACGGTAGGTCTATTGTAATTCTTTCGTGGCCGTGCCACGAGTGAAGGTTGTTGATACTCTGCTTTGTACATTTGAGGCAATCCATGATTTTGAGCTATTCAAAACCGTGAGTGCTACTCACTACGCTCTGGAGTTGAGGTTCTGCTATCTGAACATAAGACAGAACTGAGTACTTCAACTCTGAGAGCCTCATGTTTTGTGATCAAACTCACCCTCCTCCAATCATGTAGATAACAGGCAAGTTTTGACGAGTGCACATGTTAATGCCAACACTTTGAAATCATCTTTACCTTGCGGTTGTGTATCCAATGAAAGCGATCATGAGTCTCAGTGATATAAAGAAAGAAAAATTGTGATGAGAGGTGATGCTTGAATAGCATCAGACAAAAATATGCCAACACCTGTTGAAGTTGTCTTGCCGTTTAGACTATAACAGTTTTGACCATCATTCGTGCCACCATCATTCGATGATATTAAAAGTTTCTTCTGTCTTTTTTCGCGTGTCTTTAGTTTCTCTTCTTATCCCATTTATGCAACTCTGTTACCAATTGGGTGACAAAAGAAAATTGAATAGTTATTACAGAGTAAAGTTTTGACAATCATTCGATAGTATTGAAAGGTTCTTCTTTCTTTTCATCTCTGGCTTTTTTCGCATCTCTCTAGTTTCTCTTCTTATCCTATTTAAGCAATTCTGTTACCAATTGATTGACACAAAAAGAGTTGAAGGATTATTGCAGAATATATTTTTGAGAACTAGAGTTGGAACAAATGGAGGGAACTTCGTCTTCAGCCATATCAAAACTCGAGCCTAGGCGATGCCTCGGAGACATCAGCAATTCTAGCGAGCCAAAACTCGAGCCTAGGAGATGCCTCGGAGACATCAGCAATTCTAGCGAGGCGGATCTAGCTATTATATTGGTCAATGATCGCGTGGATCACACCGAGAAGTAAGAACATTCATTATGTTTTGCTCGCAGCAACATTTCACTTTTGCAATTGACTCCAGATACCAACATAAAGCGAAATCCACCACCAGTAAATCATGGCTAAATCAAATATTTGAGCTGAAGTCTAAAATTGTGGCTGCTCTCGATGTCCCAGGGGGAAGGCAAAAGTTAATGATGTGCCTCCACCACGTAAGCAGATTAGAACTTGGACGATTGAGGAGGTAAGTACTGTAGTCTAACTAATACTATACTTCTGGATGTAAGTCAATGCTTCAATCTTGGATCTGTTTAGAACTAGCAGGTCCAAACATGTGTCCACTTTCACCATTTCAAGCGATCACGACCTCAGTACCGTTCGTCTGAACAACATGCACGCAGTTGGCAATCCTTTAGTAATATGTGTTGAAGGAGAACCTTGAATGTGATGAGCTTTAAGTGCAAACTCTTTCTTATGAGGTCGTGCTAATTCATGATCAAGCTTAGTCATAGGACAGTTTTTACTTCCCCGCTCCTATCTAAGGTACTTTTACGTGGAGCGTAACGAAGTGATAAAAATCAGCTGCGATATTTGATAGCATCTAATTTTTATCTGAAAATTTACCATATTGTTGCCAGGATGATGCTTTACGAGCGGCCGTTGCCCTTCACAAAGCGCGCAATTGGAAACAGATCGGTAAGTGTATGTGTAAATAAGGGAGGTATATATGTATCATGCATGAATGTGGCAATTTCAGTAGCTGGAGACCTTTGCTATAATGTGGAAAATCTCATGCATTTAGCTCATGGCATGTGCAGCTGCGGCTTTACCGAACCGATCAGACGTTCAGTGTCTTCATCGGTGGCAGAAAGTGCTCAATCCCGTTCTTGTGAAAGGATACTGGACCAAGGAGGTTAGAAGACGAAGACTAGCCTTCTTGTTGTACACTCAGTTTATCTTGTTTATCAGTCTTGTTATACAGTGTATGCTTAGATGTTTCAGGCACCCATGACCTACTCATTGCTAATGGGTAACTCTGGACACTAATTGCAATGGGTTCATTCGCAGGAGGACGAGCGCATGATTGAACTGGTGGCGATGTTCGGAGTGAAGCGATGGGCTGCCATCGCTCGCTCTCTACCAGGCAGAAATGGGAAGCAATGTCGAGAAAGGTGCGTCTCAGTTATCTACACTATATATCTGTAGTTGATTGTTAATGAAGCTATATACAAATGGGTGTTTTAGTGGTAGATACATGTCGTTCTGCACATTATTACATTGATCTGAAGAAAGTCTCAACTAGCGTCCTAAGTCTACAGCTCTTAACAGTTCCTTTAGAGAGCAGTTATTACTGACCAGTTCACAGACGTTTAATTCGACATTTGCATACAGGATATCCATACCCATTTACCATACGGACTCCGTTCAATATCCTTGTCTTCCAGTTAAAACGTCACCATAATTACCACTATTTGCCATTACCATTATTTAACTTGTAGTGCAAAGGAATCTACGACGTCTTTCGTCTTATACATATTTATTTATATTCATATTTCTAATAGAGAGAGAGAGAGAGAGATGCTTCAATCCAACTTCCTGAATTGCTAAATTCTTTCTATACAGATGGTGCAATCATCTGGATCCCCAGATCAAGAGGGAGCCATGGACAGAGGCAGAAGATATGATGCTGTTTTTGGCTCACAAGCGGTTTGGAAACAAGTGGGCTGAGATATCCAAGCTACTTCCTGGCAGGTACATGCATTCCCTCTCAATTGTGTTCTCACTGTCTACGTTATAAGTCAAAATTTCGTGGAAACTCGTATTAAGATAATTCGGCTGTATGAAATGTGCACCATCTGCAGGTCCGATAATGGCATAAAAAACAGGTGGAATACGGCAGTACAAAGAAAGGCCGAGGCCCTGGAGGCATGTGCCGCCAGTTGGAACAAGCTTAAGCCATCTGGGAGTTTTCTGTCCAACGAGACCACCAATGGTTCTGAGGTACCTCAGGACTCATTGGCATTGAGTGACCAGGCGACCACTGAAGTTGAAGAATCTAGTGCTGCGCAGGACCTGTTGGCATTGACCAAAGACTACGATTCTGAAGGTACCGACGAGATGGTAATGGATGGGCAAGATTATTCTGACATACGAGAGTTCAGATTCTGTATCTGATACGATTATGTAAACCTGCACACAAGTTTCATGGTGACATAACTTTGGCTCATTTCGTTGTTTTGCTATTCCAAGTAGATGTAATTATTGATGAAGGTTTCCCACTGGTAAAGTGGATATTTCGTCAGTTTGTTCTCAATTTCCATGCAATGGCCCGCGACAAAGTAACTTAGGGACATGGGCTAAAACTAAAGACATGGGCTACATTATTTTAACTTCTGAAGTATGCAATCATTTCTTTTGCAATTTCAGAATCTTGCCTTTTGATTTTTTTTTTGTCGCTAAATTGTTGCCAAACTGAAGTCAAATCTCCACAAAAACAAGGAAGCAGATCAAATTTCAAATATCATGTCCCCAAATTGGGTCTCACAATAGATTAGATTCAGATGATATTAGTCTCACTCTTCATGTTATTGTCTTCTAGTCCAGAATTCATAAATATCTGTTTGAAAGAACCGAAACTTGAGATGTTGAGAGTCTATACACGTTAGGGAATGTAGATCGGTTTTTATAATGTATGTTTCTCAATTGCAATTCGTTTGTTCGGATGGCTTTCTTATAATCAGAATGGAAATATCAACGAGGTAAAACCTACTTCTTCATGCTAACAGAAATTCTTTAATTCTTATGCATCTAGAGCGAGCTTTCATTGCTTGAACATGAGCTTTCATTCTTCTCATCCTTGGAGAATGTCTTTCCAAAAGGAGGTGACATGGCACAAATTTTTACGCACGTAACGTTTATAAATCCACCATTATTATTCTCTACTACCAACATTCCATGTATAATCTATTTGTATGTTTATTGAAATACATCATAAATCGTTAGAAAAATCTTGTAAGTATATTACACAGAAAACTAGAATTCTTCAATTGAAGTAAAGAAATGCATAGAATCCAAAATATATGCTTTTAGTTACAAACGGAAAAGTTCAGTGACTACCGAAAGTCAGTCAATATGAAAATTAATAGGTCTTGAAAGTCAATCAATACAAAAATCCAGAGGTTGTGAAAGTCAATAAATATAAAATTGAGCCAACTTCTTCAACAAGCATGAATATATCCTCAGCATGAGCTTTTTAGCTTTTGTATGTTAAAAATCATCTCTGCAGGTATAAAACTAAATATGTGAGCTTGAGTCATAATCTTAAAAATGATAGCTTAGAATTCTGTTTGGCTTATTCTTACATTTTGATTGACTTTGATGATGCTGCTAATTAGATGTTAACTGAAATTGTGTTACAGATTTTGTTCCTGATTTTATAAAAAGGTGGAAAGATTTGAGACTCTTCAGTTATAAAGCGAGTGATCATAAATGCTTATAACTTCTTGGCATTTCAATTTACAAAAACTGCTTCAAGATGTATGCGGAGACAAAGAGATGATTAATCATCAAGTAATAGCAGCAACAAGCAGGTTAGCGCAAATTACCTACACTAACACTAGCACGTTTTGAGTGGCGACGTAGAATTCTTGGTACGTTGAGAATATAGAAACTTACGCTCACAAGTTTGCTTGAGTATAGTGATTTTGTACGTGAAAGTAATGGAATATATTACTTGTTGCGACTATCATTCTAGATTGTAAAGCTAGAGCTGCCATACCTTGATCATTCGCGTGATTTAAAAAATTCTACCTTCGATAAATTTAAGTGATGATGTATCAAGCTAGTAAAGGTTAATATTTGATCTAATCTCAAATATATTTATATCACAATGATGCTTTCTGGAAAAAATGTTACATGAAATCAGAAGTACAAGTCAATAGCTATCCTTAATTTTTCTTCATGACTAAAATCTATTAATGTTTAGATTAAGGTAAAGATTTAATTAACTCTTCTTTATAAACTGAAGCACGTTAGGTTTGTGCTAGTATGTCGTGTATTAGGACTGAAGTATGGTTGACTATAATTTAGAGATTATGAAATAACTCATGTCAAGTTTAGCCCAGAAAATACTCTAAGTTTACTCTAGTTTATAAGACTTCTGTACAGGATATTACTAAATAAAATTTAGACTTCCTAACACTGGAATGAACGTGTTGTTGTTGGATAAACTTTTTAATCTTCGATGAATCTTTTATAACTATGATATGCTGTGAAAAACGTTTGGGTTGAATCACTAAAGCTAATTTAGAGTTAAGTGTCTACTCTTTATATATACTCTGTCTACCAATGCATGTATTTCTTTCATACCAACAGATAACTATTTGTCGTGGGGACTCTGACTGGTTTTGTGTTCTGTTTGTATGAATTTGTCATCCGTGGTCCATCGCCTTTTGCCCACCAGGATAATCAAACTACCAGACTTTGACGAGAGCCTTCAGTCTCGTGAACTCTTGAAAGATTACGTTGAATTGCCGGGACTGACAGATTGCGAAGTGATGGACGCGCCTTTTATGCTGGCACCACATAATTGGCATCGTCGGCCCTGAATGTCGCTCCATCGATATGCCAGCGAGCATTTTGTGCATGAAATACCTCAAATTCTCCTCACCTATAAGGCCCGCAGCTGCAAGTATGACCCTCGCTGATTCCCAGAACCTTCGCTCAACCGCAGCCCAAAGGATGCGTTCAAATTCGAAGAGACGTAATTTTCTCAGGTTCGGTGCGAGGAGCCATCGGAATGCCATCCAGGAAGTTCAAAATAAGGCATGATAAAAATAACGCTGAGATGAAATCCTTCGAAAACGAGCAGCCCAGAATCGGATCTCTTCGGACATGGACTTTATCGAGCTGAAGGGGAGTACGATTCAGTCAGAAGCAGCTCTCCGATCCTCATCCCGACGCTGAACCACCGAAGGCCTGAGTGAAAACGGTCGACCAGAAGGAGGTTCAAATTCACAGTCGCTGCTCCCGTTGGCTTCCCAGTGGAACGTCCACGATCCGTTGGGGCATTTGTCATCGTTCACCGCCATCTCAAGTGTTATCACATTGAGCAAGGTCTCCACTCGGTCTCACATTTCACGAGAGCATTGCGTCCTTCGTGAGATTCACACTGTCAGAAGGAGATTGTGAGGACTGTAACGAGCTCTGCGCGACTGCTCTGACATTCTTGCTTGAGAATTCGAGATGGCCCGATCGGTGGTCGTAACGAGGACTCTGGACTCGGCACGATGTGCTGCAACGAGCTTGAAGAAGGCGGTGGTCTGGGAGCCTCGAGCGAGAGAGACGAAGAAGGAGAAGGAGGAGAACCCGAAGAGAGCGGAAGAGAGCAGAAGAAGATGGATTCTGATGTACACCCTCGCACACGAGGTGCTCATGTACGACTCACACACGAACTCGTTTTACGAGCCGGCGCACAATGCTCTGAGGAATATCCAGAGGGAGCTCGGATCGCAGTACCGCCTCAACCTGGCAGAAGAAAGCGCAAGTGGGCTCATCTTCTGCTACGGTGTGAGACCGACGAGCCGACATCGCTCGATGACATTCGGCCTGCAGATCTGGGCCTGCAACCCTGTCACTGGAAAGGTCCACAAACTGCCTCCTTATGTCGATCTGGAGAGCGGCAAGCACGAGATCCATCTGACTCCGGTCCAGGTCCAGGTGCACGACGTGTCTGCCGGGTCCTACCATTTGTATGTCACCACGACACCTGCTCGTGCGCCGCCTCCCGGCGCATCGGCGGAGATGAAGATTTACAGGTACTCGTCTGAGGTACGGGACTGGACTCGGCTCAGATGTCCCTTCCCGGTGAAGATGAGGATCGCCAGCAGCACGGCGCTGGAGAGATTCCAGCACGCGAGTGCGAGCCTGAGCATGTCGGAGGCCATTTCTAGCACCTCGTGGCGGCGGGCGACGACGAGAGTGCAAGCGCTCCGTCGGTGCGGCGGCGGACGGGACGATGAGAGCAGTCTGATCAGAGGAGCTTCGTGGACCGAAGCGTTCAAGAGAAACGGAGAGCTGCTCCTCGTCGTCGTGGAGAGAGACGACGAGGACCTCCACTGCCTTGGATGCAGCATTTACTCGTTGCCCTCTCTGAACTTGGATGACCCGTCGAAGTCCTCGTCCAATTCGCCCCTTCTTCGCCGGCGACAACAACAACAATCAGCCCGCAAAGGACTCAACCACGCATCCAAACCTGCAGCAGCTCCATGGAAGCAGGAATCTCACTCGGAGACGAAGAATCCACCGCTCTCCTTGACTAAGCTGGCATCCATGCCTGCAGACATGTTTCTGAGACTGCACGGTAATCCACCTCAAGAATGCACGAAAGATGAAGCCAGATCCAGCCAATTCGACGTTTGCAGAACCTCCAGCAACAGCGGCAATCGTCGAACACCATCACAGCAGTCGACGGCTTCCGAAAAAACAGAAGAGGGAAGCTGCAGGAGTTTTCTACGTGTCTTTGCTGATTCCAGCGACGATCATTTGCTGTTCTTCAGTGTCCTTACCGGAGAGATTGCTCGATTCTCCCTCGGAAGTAAAGAGTGGACTTCATCATCCATGCACGACACAACAACAACGACGGCAAGTGATACACACGATGGACGCTCTGGGAGATTGGGTCCGTCTATCCAGCAGCTGAACCACTTCCGAGCAGACTGGATGAAACTCGTCCATGTCACAGGACTGATCGATTTTCGAGGAATTGTATTCGACCCTCGGCCTGGCATGAATCCGCAGTAAATGTCGGGTATCAACCATTCTCCTGATTTTTCAATTCAGGTGACCAAATTCCAGTTCCAAACTCAGAGTCATGGAACCTGACAGCGACACATTGATCTACGTTCGTTCCTCTGATGCTTGGGAGAACCTACTATCGATCAATCCTGTGGTGTATTTTGAAGTAAATCGGTATCTCGATCGATCAGATAGACCGTATCGACACTAGGAGTGATTCAATAAAGTACAGACAAGAAAGGTGATCATTTGTGTCAACAGATTATTTCCAGGTCCTAGCACCTGGAGTCCAATAGAAGTATTCGTCCCACCTTCCCAAAGGTTGAAGTCGGTGTGACTAAATTTTAACTACAAGGAGTAAATCGATGGTCTGCAAAAGAGAGGCGGTGAAGTGTTATGATTATGTCACTGCTGTTGTAAAATTGCTGTTCTAATTGCATTGTTTGATGTCCTCGTGAGTGAGAGGAGAGAGGGCTGCGCCGGTCAAGCAGCTGGTGCTGGATCCAGCGACACTCGCAAACCCGAGACATTAGAGCACATGCACCTCCAGTGAAGTTCCAACCATTCGTGATAATGTCTAATGTTGTCCATGGGCATCGAACGAGCAGCTACGGACATTCTACGATAGTGAAGTCCATTGTTACATTCACTCCTACACAGATATCCAAACTCATTGAAATCAGAGGTGCCTGGGGTGAAGTTAATTTCTGTTTCCTTTGATTGGTTTCTCGAGAGGGAGGATGATTTTCTCGGGCCCTGGAGGTAGTGCAATACCTGGGCGACATTGACGACCCTCAGACTGCAAGCTGCCCGATTGGGATCGCACCCTAAAAAAATCCGTCTGGCAACGCGACGTTGAGGCAATTTCAACACTTCCAGGACTTCCACATCGAAAAGCGTTGTATCGTAAGAACCCAGATAGAACTTAGACACACAATTATAACGATATTTATATCGGCATTTAGTTTCCCGATGTTTTTCAGGTCGAGAAAGGGATTCACGATTCGCGAGCACCCATAGATTCGTAAAACTAAAAGCTCGTCACACCGGCAGTCATCATCCTGGTTGTGTTACATTGGGTCTCCTCATTGGAGGAGGGTGGGCTGCGCCGGCCTAGGAGATAGTGCAATACCAAGGCGACGCTGGCGACCCCCAGGCAGCAAGCTGCTCGATTAGGATCGCACCCTGAAAGAAATAAGATTAATATCGTGAGGGTCGATGACCCTCGTATCAGATATTAAACTGATAAGAACAGATACTACACTTGATCTTAGCCAAAAGGCCGAGAAAGGTATACTTCCCAAGTTCATCGGGCATTTTATGTACATGGAATGCCCCATCCCCTTCTCACTAGACTCATGGGCTTTATTGAAAGTTGCAGTCTTTGGTGGCAGGTGGGACGCTCTGCTGCGTCTGTAGGGATGACTGGACCCGCTGTACATTAAGGAAAGAGTGGATCGAATATCCTTCGTCCTAAAAGCTGCGAAGGAGGCAGAAGGCACGAAGGCTCTGTCTTGCACTCTCCTTAAAAGGCAGAGGAACTCAATCGTTGATTTGGAGATGAGTCGTGGAAGGAAAGAGCAATTCACAATGCTCCTGGAGCCTGATTTATGAACCAAAATATTGTTCCAAAATGATGACTTTCATTAAACATGATTACAGTACAGATCTCGTTGCAAGAAATGAAAACGTTTCCATTAAGGTAGCTATGCAAACTACTGTAGTCAAGATTCTCAAGTACTGTAAACAATATCGAGTTGTTTCTTCATTACAAGGCACGAGATGATGGTTTCACAGTCAAACTTGCTTATCTTTTTTCTTTCTACATCCCTCTCTTGTTTTTAGTTACTCATCAAATGGCACCTTCTACACAGCCACCGCCCTTGAACAGGGGGCTAGTAAAAAGAGTGGAACGCACATGGAGACAATTAAAACAATGGAACTGAAGAGTAAGTTTCAATGTATTTTTGAGAAAAATTCAAGATTTTTAAGGTGAATGAGGAAAGCTGGGATGTCAAACTAATCTAAAACTGATGGTAGTATTATATCCATCTTCAGTCAATTTTTCAATACATTTCAAACATAAGTGCTTTTGTTTTCTCAGATGTGATAACAAAACTTCTGATTTGATGAAGAGAATGAGAGAATTTTTTTTTTTTTATTACTAATCCGGGAATTTCATTTAAAAAATCGTTCGTAAGATGAACTTTACTTTCGACTTGAAAATGAGTGTTTTTACAGCATTGCAATGATAAAAATCATCACAATGTAATGCTATAAAAGTTACTGAAAGTACCGATGCTGAATTTGAGTGCTCTCAAATTCCCACGTTCTCGCCTACTAGGACGACCCTTACGGGCCCTCAGATCCAGCGACCACTCAACTCACAAAGTAACATGCCGTGACACACCACCAAATTTCATTTACACAGTTGATATAATGCATTATACAAGTGCTTACTTCTATTTACGCCATTTGCTACTAATGAGAAATTCATGTGATTACATATCAAGTTTACATGGCCTCACATCAAGTTAGAAGAGAAGGGTGTACATGAACCATTGAATCGAATCTCTTGAGCTCGGTTGTTTTTTGTTGAATTCCTTAAGTACTATATATAACTTCTAGTCGACTCATGGATAAGAGACTATGAAAGGCTCCTCTGTGTCTACAAGGAGAGTAAACATACACTCGGTATATACCTGAACCAGTGTTAATTTCAATCGGGCATATATAGAAAAATAGGAAATAGGGGGAAGTCGAGTTTTTCCAACACAGAGGAGCACGTGACCCACTTGTGACGATAAACTGACGGAAAAAGAACAGAGTGAGCGTAGATGGCAAACAATGTTTTCATGGGCTACGTCTTCTTCGACGCTGATAGCCATCAGACAGTGGAGCCCGCAAAATCAGCAAGGTTTCTTCAAAGTATAGTCACTATTACCAACGAACGTTCATGACGATCATCTTCTTGGCAGCTAGTAACTTGCTGGGTGGTTGATAAGCATGGACTTTTAAGGTGGTGCTACGAACTGCCAACACTAAGTAGTTGACATAAAATTTTAAAAAAGAGACTCAAATGTAAAATTTGTGCATGCAATGTCACTTTCAAATATAAGATACTCAGTTGCGAAATAAGTTATGCTGATTTTGACTCCTTCAGATACACTCAGATATTCTGCACGTTCCAAAGACTCATGAGCGTCAGGATCCTTGAACTGGAGTTCTCAAGAGGGCGTTGCCTGGACTCCTGGGCGACGGTGGTCTTCGATACACACATGTAGTAAACAACTCGTGTAAGAGTTGTATATTTCTGCATTATGTGACAAAAAGTACAAAGAGTGAACTTGTATCTGAGATTGGATTGGTTGGATTCACAGAGAAATATTAAGTACTCTAGCTATCTTAGATTCTATCTCTAGATATCTTCAAGCCGATTGTAATCTCAATCTATTACCTTCAGAGTGTTTCCCTACAACTCACACGCTTCAGGCGTGGGATTCTACAACAAAATTGACTACTCCGTGTCTGGTCTCTCTATCTGCCTCTCACTATACACGGGGAAAAGAATGAGCCTGCACAATACTGCCTATTAAACATTGACCTTCAGCTAAAGTAATCATCTGGCAGCCGCTGCTCGTGCACTAAGAGAAGTATGATAATTTGTGCTACGTTGCTTCCTATATGAGGTATACACATCGTCATATTGAGTGGCCTCGTTAGGATCCGCTACAGCTCCCAAACCCAGCCGTCCTGTGCTGCCAACACCCGGTCGATGCTCCACACTTCCATCAGGAAGAGTACCAGTGTCAGGGTCGACCTGCATATGTCCAGGCGGAGGAATCCGAGCACCGCCTTCCCTACCTCCTCCTCCTTCTTCCCCTTCATTCTCTCCACCAGCTGACTCGCTTCCCTTGAACTGCCCTTCCAAAGGATCTACCTCTCCAATTTCTTTGAAAAACTTCGTCACTCTCTCGAGAATGTAAGACTCGGAAGTAGTAGAAGGAGGAATAACAGTGGGAATGTCTAGAGGACTCAACGGAGAATAAGGAACACCACTTCCTATCTGCATCTTGCGGACCATACCAGGAATCAAACCAGGTGGAAAGAGAGGATAGGGTGGTTGATCTGCACTTCGGAGAGTGGGCAGTTGAGCAAGAGCAGGTGTAACATTCTGAGGAGGAGGAGTTGGTAAAGGAGCGAGAAAAGGAGGACCTGGCAAAATCGGATAGCTCGGAGGTGCAGAACCTGCGACGAACTGAGGTGCCCCGGCAGGAGTAAACTGAACACTTGCTCCAAAGAACGGCGGAGGGTTAGGGAGAACATTGCCGAAAGGGGCCTGTGGTTGGTCTTGCGGCTGCTGATCGGTAGCAGCCTGTGCAGTGCGCAACTGTTCTGCTTGCCATTGTCCACCAAACTGAAATGCTGTAGCTGCAGCTGAACCTGATGGTACTGGGCCGACTCCCCCTAAATTACAGGCAAACATGTCTCAAATTCAACTGATTTCTGAAAACATATCATGATAATCCACAATTTCTCTGAATGCAATATCCCCAAATAAAATCCCAGCATGTTCTCCCTCTTGCTACCTGATCACATATTACTTGATAATCTTCGTCACGACAACATCCGGATGTGCCACCATCTCTTGACACTAACACAAAATTCAAGGGTACAAAGAGGGCAAAAACACAGACCACGCATCCTTCTACAACATCCAAACTGCTTTTTTCCAAGATAGAGAAGTTAACGGTTGACATTACCTGTTGATGTTTGCATGGGTGTAAATGAATCTGGTGTAGGTGGAGGAGGTCCTGCCACCATCTCGCCTTCAAAGCTGTTAATTGTGTCAGTGTCAAAAACCTCTTTACCACCCCAGAATTGAAGTATTTTCTGAAGCCTCCCTTGGTTAGCCTCAGGGGTTTGCCGATTATGATATATAGCTGCCAACATAGAACCCAAGACAGGCCTGAAGGCCAAGGCTTCATTGTCTAGCTCGGTCGGAGAGCTGCGGTGCTGCAGACTGCAAAGCAGACCAAGAAGTTTCCAAATATCAGAATATCGTACTATCAAGACTGAGCAAAAAACGTTTATCTGTGATATCTGTGATTTGTGTAATTTCCTTGCGAATGCTTCATGCACTGCAAACAAGAGAAAAGAAAAGCGAGAAAATTACACAGGCTTATGCTTCTCAACAGACTAAGGTTAGAGCGTCCTCACTGAGTCTAAGGACCTTCAAGTCTGACTACTTCAAACGAACGATGTGCACTAAGAGCAATAAGAACTCTATACAAAGAAAAGGGCTCTCCCGGCAGTTTTAGAAAATGTGAGAAATCGCGCGCAATCAGTTAGCAACACCGACCTGTTGAATAGAATATCGTTGGCGAGGTAGATCACATGGAGTTGCCTCTCGACGTCGTCCAGTGAAAGAACACGATCTCGCATAGCCTCTGCCAGTGCAGGTGCAAAAGACGCTCTCTGCATGAACCATGTCTTCGCACCTTTGATGGACTCCTTCGTCCCCGTTAGTCCATCCAGGACTCCTTTCAGCTCCACAAGAATTTCTGGAGGCAGAGGTCCAGACGGAGCATTGGCATGCTGCGCATTATACTGCCCATACGCATCGTGTTGAAACTGATCAAAAAAGGGCTGAGCATGTTGTTGCTGGGGGTCGTAGAAAGACCCTGGGAATGTTCCTGGGACTGGGGCCGGGACAGCATTGAGTGAAGGGTTTATGGCAGCAAGAGAAGGATTCAGGGGTGCCAGATTAGGGTTCACTTGAGCAAGAGCGGGATTGATTGCTGCAATGTGAGGGTTTATCGACACCCACAATTTGTACCGATAGTAACTGTGACCCTCAGCTCCGAACAGAAACGAATACAGCACATTGTCCTTCTGTTTATCCTTCATCAATTGCTCAAACTGGGGTCCGTTTTTCGCAGCATACTCCACCAACTTGTCGATGCGTTTATGCAAGTCGGAATCTGACGGAGGCGGAACCGGGGGCGGAGGAGGCTCCCATGGGTTGAAAAAGCCTTGAGGAACAATGCCTTGAGGTGGTTGCAAGGGTGTGGTCGATGGAGCTCCAAATGGATACGGAGAGGGATGGTAAGGAAACTGCTGAGGCGGAGGCATATAACCGTGAGGATAACCGGGACCCTGATCCATCCCTGCAGAGGTGCAGCCTTAAAAAAAAATCCCCCACAGCTGCTCAAATCAAGAACATAGCTACAAATCCGAAATCAACTGAATTCTACAAGTCCACTTCAAAAGCACTGACTCCTCCGAGTCCTCCGAGCTGAGCGACTGAATTTCAACTGCAGCACCTGAACCTCGTTCACAGCGAAGCAGGACTCTCAAAGTTCCTGCAGATTTTCCAAAAAATCACAAAGGCAGCCACGATTGAATCTGCAATTCCGCAACACGGTGAAAATCGATCCTCGCTGCCAACTAATTAATTGCACGTTAATGCAAACTCCGACACGGCGACATCGACGACATGGAGAACACGGAGCAGAGACGACGATGAAGCTGCTCGGGCCCGATGGAGTTGTCCCTCCGGAGGGAGGCTCGTGGCCGAGCTACTACGTTTCGCACCGAACTGCGCTGGTCTCTCCGTGTCTACCACAGTCAATACAATACTACGGTAAGGTCCAGTTCGTATAACTTCGACTATGTCCTCACCAATGTCACCTCGTTCCAAATTAGAAATATTTTGCTTTGTTTGGCCAAATGACCGGCGATCTGGGAGGCACTAGATTAAAAGCCGAGGCCAAGAAACCAACGAAGACAATGGAGGAAGTTTGATAAGCCCCTCGTTCTCCTCCTCCCCATATATATTTTTGTATATTAACATCATTAAAATCTCTGTTTGGAATAAACACGGGCATAATTCTTCTAGTTACAAGTGTACCATGCCTAAACTCACCGCTAAATTTGGCGGCTGTTGTCGAGGACTAGGGTTGTCTCTAGGACCTGCTCTAGTGCACTTACAGTAGTAGATAATAGAAGACCTGCTTCGTTGCTATCTTCACCAGAGTTAATTACACCACGAGTCAAGGGCGACCCAAGGGTTGAGTCGAGTCTTGGGCCTATTTCGACGAGGGCCAGCAGAATGTTACACCGCCCCGTTTATCGAAATCTCGGTAGCTTTCTCCAGTCCGGCGGCGGAGATACCGGCAACTCTGGACCGGTATTCCGGTACTCTACCTGGGGTTACCAGGCACGAGCGCAGTGTTCCGGCGATGTGACTGGTTTCTCAGAGCCTCGCAGATGGCCGAGAGAGATTCTCTGCCTCGAATCCCTCGGCAGCATTTTCATTTCTGCGTCTGCATTTTTGTGCATGCGCTGTCGAACATTTGCCTGCTCCATGGGAAATTTTTGTTCCTCTGCTTGATTCAAGAGTATATTTCTGCTTAATGTGGAATAATTTCAGTCAATGGCAGAAAGGAGTAGTGAGCGACGATATTTGAATTTAATTTTGTTAGTTTTCTAATTATGCATGAAGACATCCAAATATTCAAATGAATGGATATAATCTTCACAAGCGTGAGAACGGAACTGTTTCGAAATAACAGATTCCCGATTTTGTAGGTATCAGTCATATGATACTACTTACACGTGAAAGTGAAGTTATTATATTGGCGAGCAATATATTAGAGCTATTTTTAGTGAGCAATTTTGAGAGTGCAACCTTTTTCAATATATGGTGCTAAATGGCCTTATCCTAAAAAATTGCCTTTTTGGACAAAGCATCCATCAGTTCATCTGTTTTATATTCCTCTGTGATAGACAACTAAGACTCGTTCCACTTTATTGGCAATTAGTCGAGCCCTGACAGAGGGAAGCACATACATATGCGAAGAAAACTCTACCTTCAACCGTCAGAACTAAAACTGCTAAGAGAAAGGATCAATAATACATCCATCCATAGTTAACACTCGGTGGAGGGCACTGAATTTGCTGCTCTTGAGGACTTTTTCCATGATCATATGAGAAGACAACATAATACGCCATTCGCACTTCAAGCCCACGAAAGCAGATGCGCACTGTGGTTACACACCATACATTACAAATATTCTTTATAATCCGAATTTAGTATACAGATATTCTCCTGGTTTATGCAGCATTGACTGAGGACTAGTCTCTTCACTCAGAAACACTGCCCTACCGTTCCTTGCCCTCCTCAGCAATCCAAAGACTTTATACTTCTTTTGCGAAGGCTCCAGCCTTCTAGACCACGTAGATATCTTCAGTTCTGACCCCAGAAAAAGCTTCAGAGAGAAAGGGTGCCGACGAGCTTATATGAGATTTGAAGTTCTTCACTCGTGGCAATAGTCATATTTACAGGTGCGACTGATGTGAGCAGCCATTTACCGAAGAAGATCCTCAGGAACAAGCGGATATGACGAGCATGTTGCAATGCCTGCAATAAATCGAGCCACGTTGAATCAATTGAGAGCAGAGCAGTGAGTGAACAGATTCGAAATTCAACGGAACTTTTCCTATGCTTAGACACTGACTGGTCATAAAACTAATGCAGCTACGTGGTTTATTTTAGCTCGAGAAGTTCCTACTGGCAGGAATGTAGGAGCACCACAGTTTAGGGGCTAATCTGTAAATGAGGACTGCTTACAGTTAGTCAGAAAGGCACTTACCACACATGTTCTTGCCCATTTCCATCTTGAAGTACCCATCCAAGCCCCACTCTACTCCCCACGAGTTCTTAATGATCCAGTAGGGAATGTCTCCAGTTGTATCGTAACCCACAGCTAAGACTGCATGATTCACCGTCTGCAAAACGGACGACAAAGCTGAAGATGAGTACAGGTTCCAAATGAAAAAGACGAAGTTATGGTTCAAACCTCTAGCTTACTCAAACTTAGAAGACAAGACAAAATCCATAAGCAAGAGGATGGATTTTTACTGATGCCTGTCAATCTTAGGGCAGATAATGTGATCAAACAGTCATATACTAATTTCATAATACTTGAATCCAGTGTTTTGATGTGGAGTGATCATTCTTATTTTCAAATCACCAGCAGCACCACCTAGATAAAGACATCTTCCTCACCTCGGGGCCGGTGTTGCAATATTCTGTGGTGTAAACTCCACTGGAGTACAGGTTGAAACCGTCAATGACTTCAAAGGCGATTGAAACTGGTCGTTGGAAAGCCACGGCATCCTTCAACTCATCCTCGTCGTACTGCAATTCGCAAAACAACGTGAATTACGATCAAATAAATCTTCGTCACAGGGGATGGCTTTGGCATGCTCATCTTGATAAGAGAGACTGTAATATCAAAGGACTCCGGAAAATTCGCATCATGTAGATTGCAGACAGAAACAAGTGAGAACATTAGAAAAGTCGGGCGACATTTTATACGGCGCACTGTCGTGACAATGGAGAAAGAAAGAGAAAGGGCACGAAGTATAAGTTTAAAACCGTTCTCTATTCTTCCCACAGTCTGTAAAAGAAGGCATTGAGAACCGAAGGTCTTGAGTCCCAACTTACGGCAGTGATGTTGACGACATCGTAGACCTTGGCGCCGACAGCTGATGGCTTGAACTTGCAGGTTTCGTCCAGAGCATGGTAAGGGTAGGCTTCCTCACTGTCAATACCACCGTTGTATCTGATGTACTCGAATGCTTGTGAAGGAAGTCCACCACCACATCCAAAGTTGTTGAATGCGCCGGCACAATCCACAAGTTGTTGCTCAGATAGGAGAACCATGTTACCAGTTGCTTGGGCATGAGCAGATTCCAAAGCACCAGTAGTACTGCACAGTACAAACGTAGACCGATCAACTCTAGGACGAAACCAAAGTTGTCCAACTCCACATGGCATCCCTTATATGAACGAAGCGTAGTACGGATTCAGAGAGGCATCGGTGTATAAACAATGTGTGATTGTGCAGTAAATCACAATCTAGAAAGGAACACCATGAGAAACAAAACAAAACATGTTGTAGAATGACCAAGAGACGACAGAAAATGATCGCCTCCATTTTAGTACCTGAATGTCCAGCAAGATCCGCAAGATGCTTGATCCTTGACGGGGCTCACGATGTTGTCGAGACGCCAATCTTTCTGAAGTGTGCACACGGATGACATTAGGCGAAATTAAGAGGATATTGCAAGCAATATCTCCCACTCTGTGAAGTGAAAGGCACTGGAGGTTGTCAATTAGATCCCCTACATCGGCGAATGTGCAGCCACCCGACCACATTTTTTTGACTAATGAGCTGAAAGGTTCTATGGACCGAATGCTGAGTTAACAATTGGTGGTGAGAAGGTCTAGAAGCCAAAAGTTTCTAACAAGGGGTGGGATTAGGAGGACATTGCTAACCCACCTTCTCTGGCAAAGCGGCATCATTTTTCATTCTCAATTTGTGAGTGCCCTCGGTTGCAGAGCAATCCTCCTGCTTTTGCCCAAGATGCATTCTGCGAAACTCTTCCATAGGCATGTCCGCGAACTCTGCACGCCGATTAAGAAAACACGTTCAATGCACATTTCACACTCACAAGGTGGAGTCATGAAAATACTCTGGATCATAATTATTTGGCACAGTATTCGAAAAAATTGATGGAATCAATTTCGGCAAGAAACTAACGCTCACCGCTTTTCAACACAACCGAGACACTACATTTCTTGGACTTCTCGACAATTTATAACGCAGACTGGTCCCTGAAGCTGAAAGCTGAATTGAGTCCAATACATCTGCCTGCAGAGGCCATAGCTCCAATTCTTGGAGCTCAAAGGTCTGATCCTCTTCTCTGTGAAGGGGAATGCCCAGAATCCTATCCTTTTGAGCCATTTAATGACTGATAGAGGATGTTGCGCAGCGCGCTTCTCAGGAAAACCTCTCGCACAAAATAACTCGCCAAAAGATGAGGGAGGTAAAGCACGGAGGAAAGGTTAATACACTTACTGTTGATTCCAAGCTTGTAAGGAAGATCTTGTTGGTTGGTTTTCTCAATAAGCTCGTAGTTCTTGACAAATGTTTCGAAGCGATACTGGAGCTCAACCAGGGAATTGTACACCTTGTTGTGCCTGTAATTACAGACATCCGCTCAATCTTAGCTCAAAGCCATCCGAGCTTCCTTGCGCTCATTCGCCAACACAGAACATTCACAAAACACGTCCGAGAAGATTGAGCAGAAGTTACAGAGCAAGCAATCGCAACCTGTCCTTGAAGTACCCATCTGATCACTAGCTTCAGGTGACACCATCAAGCTGCTCAGTTCGTAATTATTCCTAAAGGTAACATGAGCTCCGCATGTCATCCTACACAATCGTGTGCTTCACTAAGCTGCTCATCCAAGTTAAGGAAGCCCATCATCATCGGACGGTCAAATACCGCAGCTGGTAAGGACAGACTCCTCCGCACTAACAGTTAGCTTCACACGCTAGCCACTAGCCAGCCATCATCGCATTCCAAATTCTACTGACAACAGCGCGCGCGTGCGTGGAGGAGGCAGAGATGGAGGCAGGAGAGGGGAAGGGACATGAGAAGTCAGATCTATGGAATTTCCTCGAAACAAAAGTCAGAATTCAACACAATATCTACGAGCAAACCAAAAGGAGCGGCCATAGCAATTACTTCAAAGCGAAGGCGGCGAACTCAAGAACAAGAGGACCATCTCCCAAAATCTCGTGGAATTGCCCACCCAGGAGCGCTTCCTGAGCTCTCTCGGATTCGGTGACCATGGCAATATTCCCGGAGTCTCTGCTGGGCAGTGCACTAACAGCGACGGCCATCACCATCGCCATCGCCACCACCGCCAACCACGCACCGAGCGCTCGTCCTCCCTTCATCGCGCCTGCTTTCCTCGCTTCGATCGGCCTCGACTTCTCCCGCAATTCAATCGATCGACCTGTCACGACGAATGTGATCTTCCTCCTCGTCCTCCTCGTCGCTGTTGTGATCTTTTTCTGTTTCGATCGGCCTTAAGAGAAGTGAGAGAGGGGGCTGATGATGTGTTGCGACCTTCTTCTGAGTCTCCCACCTTCCGACTCCGACAGCTCTCCCCGGTCGCAGCTTTAAGGCCCGCGCCTCGGGACTCCCCGCGTTCCTTGGAGCTCCCGGTCTGCGGCTTCCCTGCCCGACCGTGAATGATTGATTGCGTGTCAGCGATGTTGCCAAATTCTCAGAACCTCGTGGGCCCCGCTCGTCCGTCCGTCTGACGGATGGTCGCGATCATAAAAGCAAAGCTCGCGGTGCAAGGATTTTCTTCAGTTTTTAAGACAATTTAAACTAAATAAAACGTAAATTACTCAAAATTTTTAATTTAAATTTCTTAAATTTTTAATTTTTTAACTTTTAAGTTTCTTAATTTTTTGAAGACAATTTTCATATAATTATAATTTATTTCTATAAACGGTTTGGAACCCTTTATCCCCTAAATCGACGGCTTTAAATCGTTTCCCGGATTGACGGAAAAGAAGTCAGGCAGAGAGAGAAGGAGACGGGAAAGTTAAAGGAGTTTCGGAATAGTGTGAGAAAATCGAGGTGGGGGAAAAACCTCCGCCATTCTTTCCGTTGACACGTGGAGGAATTTGGTCTCTTCAGTGCATTAGACGAGTGATCTAGGGCTGGGATCTCAGTTCTGTAACGTCCTTCCTTCCGCGACAGGCGTCCAGATTCCCCGTCCGGTGTTTTCTCGTCTCCTTTCGGTCCTATTTTCGCTTTTCTGGGGTAGGTCCTGTTTTCGTTCCCTGGAGCGATCTTTTCGCTCACGATCTCTGTACTCTTCAATCTGCTTGGCGATGCATTTCTTCAGCGCTTTTTGCGTCCGAGGACTCGGCAGGTGAGAGATCGAAGGGAAATCAGGAATTAGGAACTGTAGGTGTTGATGTTGCCAGCATTAGCGAGACCGGGTGAGCCCTAAACTTTGCAGATCGAGAAAGGAGTCTCTCTGGTGGTGAGAATTGGGAGAAGCCGACGTCGCGATCGGAGGTGTCAGGAATTTGGGATTCGATGGCAGAGACGATCAAGCATGTGGTTCTGCTCAAGTTCAAGGACGAGCTGACGGCGGAGAAGATACAGCAGCTGATCGATGACTATGCGGCGCTGCCTGCGAAGATCGATGTCATGAAAGGGTTCGAGTGGGGAACCGATGTGAGCACCGAGAACCTCCACCAAGGCTACACGCATGCTTTCATCAGCACGTTCGACTCGAAGGAGGGCAGGGATGCCTATGTGGTGCATGAAGTACATCAGGAGTACGCTGGAGTCTTAATTGCGAACATCGAGAAGATTTGTGTCTTCGATTACAGTCCCACAGTTGTTCCTATTCCAGTTAAATCTTCGTAGTTCCTTCCATTCTAAGGTTGGGAGTCTACTCAACATTTTTTAAATAAAAAACGGGTGGATCTGATCTCATTCTCCATTGCCACGAATGTACAGCGCTCACTGTCGAATGTTTGCCTCTTTTCGCATCGGACAGGAAATGTCGATGGATCGACTTGTGATTGATAATGATCGGGTTTGTTTTCCTCAAATTCTGTCATGCATCTGGTCCAGTCTCACCTGCCATTCGACCACAAAGTTCATTATTGCGTCGCCTCGGAGTTTCTCACAATGAAACTCACCGTCGATCCGATCGATAGTCGTCGAGTTCAGATCGATCGCAAGCTGGGATTCTGTCCATGATGAGCTGACGAGACCTGTAGACGATTTGCCCTTTTACTCATCTTCAAAGTTTATTGTGTGCCCGATGATTTCAAGGGGCACACAACAAACTTTGAAGATGAAGATGAGTAGAAGGACCAGGTGCAGTGTACTTGCCCGAGAATATCGTTTTGGAGTTTTGCGCTCGTGTTGCAAGCTCAGTGGATGGTGAGCTCCTTGTCGTGCTTCGAAAGCAGAGCTGAATATCTACAAACAGAGGGCCCATACTTCTTCAAATTGCATTGTCCACATTTTGTGTAAGTGTAGCTCTGTATGAGTAGGGAAACACCGAAGCTGCTTTCTTTGTCGTGGTAACGTAAGAGGACGAACGTCATAGCTTGCTTTGGCTGTTCAACAGCTCTCGTTTTGAAGTCTTCATGTTCGTTGCCCAAGCTTCATCAAGCACACGTGCTCTACTCATTTGAACTGCTCAAATCACAAACAGAAGAAGAGTTTGTCCACTTCCACCATTTGACTTTGTTCTCCCTCAAAGCCTTTTCTGAATTATTTGATTGTACTTGGAATATATGGTCTTCTCAAAGTGACATGCAATGGTTGTTTGCAGAAAGTATCAGTTTGTGATACTTTTGAAACATGAAGATTGTTTACTGACCGGCATGAAATCTCAATGAAGGTCTGGTTGATAGTACGTTTGCGTAACGCCACTGACAAGTAAGGATCCCTTGAATTCCTTGCTTATCACAGGAAATTATTCTTCAAGCTAGCTCCAAAGCTCTGGGTCAAAAAGATATGTAAAGACAACTTTTTTTAATTTAGAATTATGGAGATACTTTCAGATGGCATGAGGTCGGATTAGTTGAGAAACTCGCTCAATCCAGGCTCAGAGAATATGTAGGTCAATTGTCAATGTAAGTCAATACGGTCAAATCCCTTACACTACAAGAACCATCATTCGATATATAAATAAAATGAAATAAAGCGCCAAGATAACCCAACAAAAGGCGAATGGATTGATACCTTTTCCAAGCAAGTTATTTTTTAAAAATATGTTCCACATTTGAAGTAAATGTTAGCAAAGAACAATCTTGTCATTTATAGCAACTGCACTTTGCATTGCTTACACTATATATACACATATATATAATGTATCATTTAATCTTCATATTATATAGTCTTATCTTGGTATCTCCTTCCCCACAGTTACTTCTCTATCTGTATTCAAAAGATGCGCATCAATTCTATTTCTCGTATTCAAGGATGATTCGAATCTGTTGGAATCCATCTGCCATTACGAGAAAATCTCGCTACCCAAAATAGATAATATAACAAAGTAATAAAATATAACATAGTCTTTTAAAATCTTTGAACACGGTACTTAAGAAAATTTCATTCGAATGCCTAATGTGAAGTCTTTTAATGTGTACTTTCTTGTGCAATTTAACTCTATGATAATTGAAGTATGTAAAACCTAAATGTACTTGACCTTTCTGATATTGAAATACTGTGATAGACAATGTTAATTTTAGTGTCTGATTCAGATACGTACCCTCCTTAGAAATATTATCAGATATTCTGTTAAAAATTTGGGTGTAAGCTTTTCGACCTCCAACAGACATGGGTATATCCAGCTAAGACAGCTAAGAATGAGGAAGAAATCCAAAAATTTTTGGAAGTAATATTAAAACCTTCGTATCCATACGTGTACCTATTGAAGGTAAGTTCCAGAGACTACGTCCCATCAGGTCTGTACAGTAAACATTACTGATGCTTTCAAAGATGATTTTAGGATTTCATATTATATCTTCAAGATGCAAGCTTCTCAACATTCGCTTTTCTTCTTCCAAAGACCAGCTCTTTCGAATCACGTGACTTGCCACACATGGAGAACTAGCACCAAGGCGGAAAAATAGCTTACAGTAACTCCTCATAAATTCATATTTATCTTGACAAACGACATCCTGTGCTTCAAGATATACTTGTTTATGCTGCTCCTTCCTTTAGTTCTGTCAGATGCAATAGTTTTCATCGGGTAAGGGATCCATTTGCACCCCACGTTCTTTGCGTGCTTGTTGCGTCTTCACAGTTCCATGATCAGCATCGTCAGTAAGGGATCTTTGTACCTCCTGGAAATATCTGGTGAGGAGCCTGGTAATTTAGAATTTGCATGAATCTATGACTCGTTGGCACCAGATCAGTCGTACAAGATCTGAGTTATCTGCAGTTCTGTGGATGCTCTGCGAGATGATGTGTTGCTTGATCCTTGGTGTGCTGTTTCGAATTAACGGGTCTCATCGTCTCATCAAGGAATAACCTGTAATCTGAGTTGTGGATTGAATAATGCATCTGGCTACATTGCTTGCACTGCAAGAGCTGGCTCCAACGCAGACATAGACTGCCTAGAGGATTCTGTGTACCAAGGACTGCAGAAAAAAAATTGTAAATTTTACGTGATATTGATTTTAACCAATAAAGTAGGCGAGAACACAAAAAAAATTATAAAGATATAGTAAAACCTTTCGCATATCATAGAACATGAAAGATTACAAGATAGACATACTGTTGATGAAAAAAATACTTTTCCTGCAGCTGTTACATTTTATCCGTGCCTCGCAGCCCAAACCAAATTATAGTCTATGTCGTTTATTGGATGTGGTCATGAAATATAGAAATATAGAATTTCTATTACCTTTGGGGTCCTGGAACCACAAGATTACCTGGCGCAATACCTGGTAAATTAGAAGAGAAACCCATTTAAGAAAGAAACTTCTTAAATGACGCATCAAATTCTATCCTACATGGATGAAACCAATATGTGTCAATTATATCAAAAAATTTTATTTATCATACTTCCAACATAAAATAAAATAACTTAAGTCATATTTATATAATTACCATGACCACATGATGTGAGTGCGTTGGATAATGTTCTTTCGAAGATAATAAATACAACTTTTCTACAGCATGTTCGATAAGTTGGTACCTATGTTGCATATAACTGTTACCACGTGAGCAATCTTCATCTATGATAGAGATTGGTGAACAAATCCACTGCAAAACTTCATCACTATAGAAAACATAGTCGGTGCACTTGAGAAACCGTGATGCAAGTGTGAGCCACGAGACACAACAATGGATCCATGTCTTAGTAGCATTATGAACTTATGCTATAGTGATACGCCCAAACTTTCTTTCGAAGAGTGAGTTTTCGATATTTTGACCAATCAAGTGGGTCAGATCATTCATGAAATCAGTCTACTGTACTAACACTGCATACGGAATTATTTGGACTGTACTGTACTGATTGTCCTATCCTCACCAAAGTGTACGTGCGACATATGCAATCAGTGAAGTCGAAGATTAACAGAAGTAAAAATGTACTTGTATTGAGCCGATCATGCTGCCTGACTATGTCTCTCGCCTAACACGTAGGGAACGTCTGAAACGCGAAGGTGGAGGGAATCACCTCTCTAACTAGTTTCATTGCAATCTGTTCTCTGCAGAATTTGCAAGTAGCCTAAGTAAAGAGTATTGTAGTAATAAAGTCTCTTATACCGTGTGAAATGTCTTCCAGTGTTTCTCTCCAATAAATCCATGAAGTCCACACAGGTTCTAGACTAAAACTTAGAAGGTTTTCGAAAAAGTGTAATGAGAAAGCATGATAGTGCATCTCTTTACAGTTTGAATGTGGAATACTGTCAGTGTGCGTCATTACAGAAACATACGTGACATGAATTTCTTATCCAGATAAATACAAAAATATCAGTTGTAATGGCCAGTGAGCTGCAACATCCGACTGCATAACCTGATCTAGTTACATCACCCTGAACAAAAATCAATAATGGAAGGAGTTTACCTTTCAACTGGTCAATTGGGTGGAGTTCTGATACAAGATTTCATTGCATCATCTGACACTAACAGATACAGCTACGATGGTTCATGATTATAGTTCACCCGCTCAAGCCTCAACATTTTCTTACTGTTGACTGTTGAGTGCATACACCGAAGGCTGCAGCCGCTGTGTGATCCGCACTTGCAATGGATCTCGCTTGTGAGGAGTCCATCCATGCTCCTCCTCAACGTCTTACGTCTTGGGGACTCGTGCGTTCATGAAGGGAGAAGTCGCAAGCACACAGATCGTAAAGCATCGTCAGTGATGATTCATCACTCAAACAATCAAAAGCCCAGAAGTCATTCCCGCCATTCGGCTCGAAACCACAACAGTTCGAAGTTGAGTTTCGATGTAAGAGGGCGATATTTGTCTGGGTTGAAGGTTAGACGATCTTCCTCGATTTGGGGTTAATGTGAAATAGCATAGAGATTGGTGAGAATTCTTGTGTTCTTGGGAATGTCGTAACCTTCACACTGAACAGTTCTCGTCGGGTCGGGCTGACGATAAGTTATGGCTCCAGCATGGAGCCAAAGGGTTTCCTTCACCACTGCTTGAAGGTATAGAAAATTGACGAGGTTGTCTTCCACGATTCGATTCTGTCCCACTACTTCGTCGAGCTCGGCTTGAATCCTTATTAGATATTGGGATGCCTCATGACCTCAGCCAAATTCCAGTTCACTGTGATTGCTCCTCTGTCGATTCCTCCCAACATCATGTCTACTAGAACATTATATCTCGGATCATCTGTTAGCTCCGTATGCTCTATAAGAGCATCCATGCAATTCGTGGATTTAGCGTCCAAATCTCAGTACGCTCTAATCTTGCAATGTTGTTCAACAATCGAAGTGAAAAACAGACAGTCCTCCATAGTATGTT